ATGCGAGACGGTGTCAAAAGCTTTGCTAAAGTCGAGGTAGACTCTCTTCTGAGAGGGTGACCACCAACTGAACTCGCCTTTTGAGTGAGCTGGTCGGATGATGACACCCTTCCTGCACGCCCTTCTGTGCAAACTGCTGCGCCATGCCCCGGTTGCTCACGCTCCCCAGAGTGCTTTGTACAGGTGTGGAGGTGGCCACGGTTCCTCTGGCAACGTCCAGGCCTCATCAGCGCCTCCCATGAGAGCTGCCGGCTCCCTGTGGGCTCTTCACTGCCCTGCTGTTTCCCTGCCCCAGGAAACCCCACTGTGCACCCAGACCTGCCACTCTGCTGTGGATTGGGCTGGCTCTGGAGCAGCTGCCGTCAGCAACTGACCAAGCTTTTCATATTTATAATACTACTGTAGAACAGATCAGATATTCTAAACATGATATATTTACTTTGAAGAAAAATACCTCACCTCCTCCTGATGATCATTTAAATTATAACATGCAAGAACAATGAAGTCATTCCACCATGCTAAGCCACCTGTTACCATCATATTTTGCTCCTAAAAAGAAAAAAGCAGGCAAATGATATATATATATGTATTTTTATACACTTGTACACACACACACACGTACATTCTATGGGTAATTTCTGAAAGCCATACATGATCTGTATAAGCTTTACTGATAGTGGCAAGACAATCTATGTATATGAAGTTTTTGTTGTTTAAAAAAACCAAAGTACTAAAGAATAGTAAGTGAAGGACAAACATCATCTTACAACACACAGCTCCACAGTTCCTTATGCTACTGGCATCCCTGAACTCTCTCAAGTTACTTTCTTCTCATGGCCAGAATTTAAAAGCTTGGCATCCAAAGCTACGTCTCACACAAACTCTCAGATAAGACATATGGGAGTAAGTGTCTGACTATACACACTCAGGTTTGGAAACCTCTTAATAATCAGACACAAATTATTGTGCCAAAGCCACAAGATATGTATTTCAGCCATTTTATGAAAAACACATGCTAAGTGTGTCTACAGGTTGCTTATTGGAAAAAGATTTTTTTTTTTTTTCATTTTCTCCAAGAGTCACATTCCAACAAATACAACCTCCCCAGTATACCTGAATAAAGTACCATAACCTCTCACCTGGGTAATGTTTCCAAACAGCTTCCATTTTTTGGTGAGTAGAGAATAATGTGCAAAACCAAACTTGCCAACAACAGCTACATTCTGTCCAAGCTTGTCAATAGCTGAAAACTGTTCAAAGAGAAAAAAAACAGAACCTCAGGAGGGAACTTATTTAAATGATATATGCTATACAAGTACATCACTACAAGGCAATATAATTTCAGACTCAAAACTTGTAAAGTATCTTCACGTTTTCTACTTTACTGTCTAGTATATATTCTTCTTCCTGTAATTTAAAACAATGATTTCATCTTCCAGAGCTCATCCAACCCTAAGGAACAGTTATAAAAACCCAACACTTTTAAAGAAGCAAGAATATATTCTTAAAATAACTCACCCTTATAGGCCAGTTGCTCTCTAGATATGTACTATGAATCTAAAAATAAGAGAAAACCAAAACCTCGTAACTATACCAAGCACCATTAAAGTAGTGATTAATTATAATGTTCTAAAGGAATTTGTACAATGTCCATGTTTTCCCAAAACACTGGCTTAAAGGTTTTTAATGTTGGGATCTCTTTTTTAAATACAATTATTTCCTCCCCGCCCCCACGAAAATTACTGAAGCCTAATTGTTAGCCTGCTTTTAATACAAGAAATACAGAAATGCATTAACATACAACAGCTAATACTACATTACAGATTAATAGTCAAAATTTGCTCTTCTCCCCACCTAGGTAATTCTCTTCCATTAGAACCTTTCACAGGAACATGCAAGTTCTGAGGAACACAGCATTCAGGAGAGACTTCCCACGTTGGGATAAAATTTCTAATCTGGTCAGAAATACACACCAGCACATCCAAAAGCCTTGTTACGAGAGCACTTGACTGGGATGTGTCAAATTAAATCTTGATTCTGGATTCTTCATATCACATGGGGTGACACAAATCCAGGTTCAAACTCCAGTCCTTGGTCTGATACAAGCCAGGTGCTATTCTTACCCAACCACTGCCTGTTCTTATGGGTATGTTGCTCCTCACAGTAATTCCAACTGTGTTAGTTTTACTCCTACACAGAATGAAGACTTCCCCCTCCTGTGCCAGTTTCAGAAGACAGAAGAGCTACCTAGCGAGCTAGCAAGGAAATTCAACAGTATCTAGAACCTGATATACATGCCTAGAGTCAAGTGCTGTTTAATAATACCAATTCATGTACTATGGGAAAAACAAAATCTTGGGGACCTTTAAAAACCTTTATTTAGAAAAATATCTACCAATTCAAGCATGGAAGACCACACACTAGAATTGCAGATTAAAAGTTACTTACTTTTTCCTCTATATTACAGAGAAAATAGAATCTGTCCCGTTACTACCCCTGGAAATAATTTCTTCTTCGCAAGCTTGAAATTGTGAAGTTTTAATTACATGCTTAAATAGATGCCATCTAAGACTGCTTGAAAATACAGTCAAAGTCCGAAGGCTGTATTCACCACTAAATATGCTTAAAGCAATCTGCATAAGTAACAGAACAAATCCCTGAAGGATTTCTTGCTTGTTGCACTTATTCTCCCTTTCAAAGCATAGGAAAGCAATTTAACTACTCCTTTCTGAAGTCAAAAAGACATTTACATTTTTTTATTGGCTAGGATGCAAACTCATAGCCACAAGGCTGAGATGGCCAACATTCCTCTATCATTTGGCAATAAAAAAAAGCTGTACCAGGGGAAACCCAAGAGGCAATGAAAAGGCAATGATCTCATACTAGAGGAAAAGGGTATGACAGAGTGATGAGATCAGCTGCAAATTCCAGCCCTATAAACTCTCACAAGCACAGAGCACATACGGGCAACCAGCAGCAATTACCTGTACAACATGCCAATGTCTATGTCCTAGTAAAGTGCTTAAACCCTGAGAATCTAAACTGCCATCTGAAAATGGACCACTTTCCCTGGTAGGCTTATGTTCAGAGTGTGCTGAAGTATTTCTGGGACTCTGAGTCTGTGTTGCATCTCCACAGTTCAAATACAAGCGATCTTCACCTTGAAGGAGGACTTGTTCCTGGTTACTCTACATTAAAACCAAAACAAAACAACAAAAAAACAAAAGCAACCTTGAACTCCACGCATAGAAAACAAAGGAAAACACATGATCAATATAATAACAGACTCTACATAAACAATATCAAAAATAAGCATTAAGGTAGTTCTCAGTTTTTCTATCAGTATGTACTAGTAGATTTTATGTTACAGTATTGCAATATTTTCAAAGTACCATTTTAAAGGCTCTATGACAAAAAGAGACGACCAGTCTAATGGCTGCAAAACAGACTTAAAAACTGTTAAGACAGTAACGCAGAGGTCACCTAAAACTCAAAATATGCTGGAAAATAAGGATATATTTATCAACAAAAAACTCACCATACAAGGATTAACAGTGAGTGCACTCTTGATGAAATGAAACTGCAGAATACCAAATTGGCGAGCTTCATTATTTGCATCTCTTTCAGGCTTCATGTTTGAAGAACTCCCATCAATAACCCACAGATGATACCCTTCTGATCCCCAGGTCTGAATGTAAAAGAATAACCATAATAAAAACCCAAAACCAACACTATATGTTCTCAGAAAATAAGAACTACAGAAACTTACTGTAACTGATCTTATGATAGACATGACCCTGTTAAAAAAAACAGTTTGGTGTTCTAAAATGTATCATCATAGGAATAAGTAACCCAGAGCAATAAAATCCACAAAGAACAGTAGGAATCTAGCTTAAATTCTTTTTTTTTTAATGTAAAAAATGTTGATTAAATGGAAACTAACTATGCAAGATATCCACACAAGAAATGAAGACTGTTTAGTTTGCAGCTTAAAGCAACTAACAAAAAATCCACAAACAGAATCAAGTACGAAAAAAATCCTGATCCCCAAAATTACACTGGTCATTGTTCATTAAATTCAATGGTATCAGAATGTCAGTCTTTGGGGCTTTTTAAAAGGCACATAGTACTGTCCTTGCAAACATGTACATACACTTGGGATGCATGTTTAAAATTGTCAATCTTCATGGCAACTAGGCTATACATAAGTAAAATCAAATGTTTTAGAAGTATTGTACAAAATTCATCATGGTTTGTAAAAAAGGCCTTGAAGATTGTGTTTGGTATTATCAACATCTACTGATTTGACAGACTAGCAGGATTTCAGGTTAATTAGTCTGTATTAAAACAACAGCAGTTAAGTTTCTCTTGAATTCATGTTCTGAGTTAAGCTACTTCAACAGCAAAAGATAAACTAATAATTTTAGAGAAATAAGTAAGTTTACAGTTAGGGTTGTTCTGTGTCTTATTGTACTCTGAAATACAGCACCAGATTACCAAAAAAAAAAAAAATTTAAGAAAAACCGGAAGTGTTCATTCATAATATTAAAAGCAAAGCCAAGAAAAGGCATATCATGCACACATCATGATCAGGCACATACATGGAAAAAAAAAAAAATCAGCAGCTGTCCCCTTTTCCCTCTTCCTTCAATACAACATTGGTGTTAGCAAGTGTAGCAAAGGCATCTTACTCTTTAAAAGTAATAAAGCTAAAGAAATCCAGATTGATTTTCTGAAAATCTGTCTTACTAAAAATAATTTTAAAAATTAACAGCCATCGTATTACAGTATTTTTACATTCATATTTACCATAGAACTGATCTTTAGAGGGTCCTTTTTGGCACCATCAGACCCATACCTTAAAAACAGAACAGAACAAGTTTGAGTTTGGAAATAACTTCATGAAAATAAGAAATTATCTTCCCATCTTTGTATTGCCATATGGTTCTATACTGAATCTTACCTCAAATTATAAAGCCTGTTTGATCCATCACACTGTATAAAAGGCAATGCAATTGTCAGATGTCTAGCATAAAGTGTTTGAATTGTCATTTTGGGATGTTAGCACATTTTCAGTAAATATATACTGGCACTGAGGGAATTTTGTATTTGCCTGCTAAAGCCTGCCTTTAGGGTAATTTGCTTTTACGGCCAGAAGACCACTACAAAAATAAAATAATACATTTTCATTTATATTCAAATGATCTCCTCCTAAATATTGTTCAGTGATTCCAATATCTAAGGAATTATAATGGAAAAAGATTTTAAAAATCTAATTCAGTGAATTAGTTTCTAATTAAATGCTTTTAATTAGAAAAATAAAGGTTTCTAATAAAACATGTTACAATTTCATTAAAAGATACTCACGCAAAATCACCTCCCAAAGTACAGATAAGCTGAGCACCAAAAACACTCCATAAGGACAAGCCTCCACATTCCCAGGTCACCATCACAACACAGCTATCAGGTGACCATCTGATTAGTTTAACAGGTCCTGTTTTATTCCAAACATCTGTGTAAAAACAGACAATACAATACCATGTGAAAAACATCAAATGTCCTTCAACTGCTTTCACCATTAAGAATAGAAACAAAAATATACGGAAATAAATATTTTTCAATTAACTTCTTTGCTGCTTTCATCGAACTGACCATCTCAAAATGACTAAGTAGCAAATGAAGAACTCAGGTTTTCTTTCCAATACGTTTGGTTTAATATGAAATGAAGAATACATGAAAACAGGCCAGAAACACACTGTGCTATGACACAACTATAGAACCACAATTCTGGTAAAATGATTTTTAGAACAAAAGAAGATTTTATATTCACCCTTGAAACCTCTTCCTTTGGCACTTAGCACAACTGCAAAGCTGTTATTTGCAGATTTGATTTTTTTGTTGAAACCTAATAGGCACATATTTTCAGCTGAGGACACAATTTACGCACTTTATACGTTTTTCACCCTCAAGCCTGATGATGAGTATCATCACGACTACATGAAAAATTCCACTGAGCTTTTGTTCACTGCAGTTCAGGCAGGGTGCTAAATTACTCTTTTTTTTTTTTCCTACGTACCAGTTGTTTTACCCTACATGTCAGTTGTTTCAAGTTAATTCACACCTCTATCATATTCACTATCAGTTTTGACAATAATCTCTCATTTTCTCAGGTGAGTAATAGAAAAGTAATTTCAGGACTACATGTGAGAACTAAGATCTGCAGCATTTAAAAAGGAACAACCAGAAAAGGAACAACCAGAAGCAGCACTGTCTGTAAATTGCTAACTCGGATTCAGTTAAAAAAAAAAAAAAAAACACCCCAAAAATACACCACCCCAGACTCTCACATATGAAACACATCCAAAGGTCAGTTAAAAGCAAGCAGCTAAAAAAACCAAATGCACAACAGTAAATCACTACAAACATGCAAGAGTAAATACTAATCCCATCAGTGATAATGCAAATAGTTGTTAACTAGCCAAGGACAAAAATATTCTTTAATACCCTAAAACCAGCTGGAAAATTCTAGCAATAAAAGTAGCTCACCAGGATATTGTTTTGGTGTCAGCTCCAATTTATGAGAAAACTGCATGGCGCCAGTGGTGGTATCTATCGTATAAACCTGCACAGAGCCGCTGGAAGAGATTACACATTCTTTAGACTACAGACCATTTGGATTTCTCATCAGTTTCAAGAGGTTAATAAAAGCTGCTTTTTTCTCACCAATACGAAATTTATCTAGAACAGAAACATTGTGTCAAGTAACACTCAAAGAACTTCATGAAACAAATTTGTAAGATACTTTCCAGAAGGCAGCTGAGGACCCAAAACACCAGCCCTATAATAACTAGTGCACTAAAACTATTTCATTCTCTGAAAATACACATGCACACACAATCCATGTGTACTTATGGCTTCCAGCTGCAAGACAATCCATGAGGGAAGTCAGTATTCACCGAGTGCTAAAGTTTCATTAGGAGTGTACTAAGGCATACCAAGATCAATGAATTATAGTAACTATTCCTGTTTCAGGAGCAAACCCACCACACTGCATTGTTACTAAAATCAAGAATCCTATTTCTTAAGAAGACAGTTGAAGACTAAACTACCCAGATATTTTGAAATGTTCTAAAAACCAAATAAAATACAACTGGGGCGGGGAGGGGGGGGAAGCTGCACTCTAGACCAGCTAAAGCAGTATTATACAGGAGGAACTGTCCTGAAGGAGCAGCAAGCAAAACATGACTAAGAGCACTTTTGTAATATTTAACTTATAAATATTCACAGTTACTTGAACAGGCAATATTTTCCCTGACCAAACCAACACTTCACAGAGCATTTTCTCAGTTGGGTGCAAAGTGCTGATTCTTGTCCAATAGTATTACAATTAACTGCTTAAAACTGACTTTATAATCCTGCTTTGGGATAAACTGGACAGCAGCACTTTCCAATCCTTGCTACTGGCCCAGCCGCTTTTTTATTTTTTTCCAGAGCTGAACAGCAATCATCAATTTCAACTGCAGTTCAAGCAGGCAATCATTTCTTTTGTCTTCCCTCCTACTGTCTTGACAGAGCAGATTATAGCATCTCTAGGAAGACTGACCATTTTCATCTTTACAGCTCTTGCAATACAACTTGGTAAGAAGAAACTACTACTTAAGCTTTATAATGAAATAATTTTCCCCCGACACTGAACCAACCTTACAAAACTTACTTGGCACACCCAAATGCCATTAGCCTGTATTTGTTATTTACTGCCACACAAGTTCCATCAATCACATCTTGTGCCCAAACACCATGGAGCTGCTGTAAAGAAAGGAATTAACAAAATTTTTGGTTAAACAGTGCTTTTATTCATGATAGTCAGCTTCTACCCATGTGCTACCCATGTACACCATATCACAGATCTGCCAGTTGACCTTCATCACTTCAGAAAATTTCTATTGCAAATATCAAGATTAACTGATAAACAAAATCCAGTATATGTAAAACTGGTTTCATTGTTCTTAATAAAAATTACAGGAAGATGCCAGTATGTAAGGGAACTGTTTATCAGAGCTCTGAATAACCAAAGCAAATCAATACCTATAAGGCAAGAATATTCCTGATACTGCATAAAAAAAAGTCAGTAGGCGGTACAAAGGATGAAGACAAAACAGAAAACCAGAAAAGAAATTCCCATTTGCAGCAGCTGAAATCAGAGATATTGTAAGTGTGTGTCCTGGTTTCAGCTGGAATAGAGTTAATTTTCTTCCTAGTGTAGGCATTGTGCTGCGTTTTGGATTTAGTAGGAGAAGAATGTTGATAACACACTGATGTTTTTAGTTGTTGCTAAGTACTGCTTGTGCTAGTCAAGGACTTTTCAGCTTCCCAGGCTCTGCCAGGTGCACAAGAAACTGGGAGGGGGCACAGCCAGAACAGTTGATCCAAACTGACCAAAGGGCTATTCCATACCATAGGACATCATGCTCAGTATATAAACCAGGGGGGGTTGGCCAGGGAGCAGCGATCGCTGCTTGGGAACTGGCTGGGTATCGGTTGGTGGGTGGTGAGCAACTGCATTGTGCATCACTTGTTTTGTATATTATCATTATTATTATCATTATCATTATTATATTGTTATTATTATCATTACTGTTTTACTTTATTTCAATTATTAACCTGTTCTTATCTCAACCCAGGAGTGTTTCTCACTCTTTACTCCTATAATTCTCTCCCTCATCCCATCAGGGTAGGTGGAGTAAGCGAGTGGCTGCGTGGTGCTTAGCTGCTGGCTGGGGCTAAACCATGACAGTGTGTGAAGGAATTTGGGACAGGCTACACAAATCCTTCTGGGTTTTCTGTAATTAAAATAGTGACAAAATGTAGTACAGTTTGTAGGCTGAATTACAGGTAAGAAAACACCTAACTGGGAAAAGGTTCCTTTAAAACAAATTCTGAAGTATCCTTGTCACTATGAGAAGAGTTAGACTTGATTATGGCTAAAAGCTAGAAATAGCACCTATGATACTCTGCCATAGGAGAAACCACTTCTTATCACCCCATTTATAACTACCAACAGGAAGTCTGTCACAGAGACAGTAAGAAGACCTCAGAACTATAACGACATTTTGAAGCAATTAAAAAAAATTAAATCTACTATCAATTATGTTTTCCCATAGACAGGTACTAGCCCTAGAACAATCTAGTTCAAATTACGGTATGAAATATAGTCTTGTTCTTATGTTATCTCTTAAGCAGTTGCTGAATTTTAATTTCTTTGCAGCTGAACAGAATTTAAAGTAGAAAGCTAACTAAAATGCAGAGACCAAGGAAAACACATTTATTGTAGAGTGCATGCTAGAAGTACTGAAGGAAATATACCTCAGCAGTGAATCTACTTGACATTGGTGCAATGAAACCAACTCTGCCATCATTAAAAACAACAGCAAAACCATCAAGCGTGGCACAGTACTCCATATCCCTGATGTAAACATCTTCAAAGCCCAAAAATGAACCTGCTGAGAAAATATCCATAATTTAAAAATACATGAACACAATCATACAAGCCAACAGACTTTTCAGTTGTTTAGTTATTACTTCACAGAAAAAACTAATTTAAACAGGCTGTTTTGCTCACATACACAAAAGGCATATTTTTCTCATCTCTGCTTGAGAACAGATATATTTTTTTATATTGGATGGTATTTTGCCAATAGTTAACTATCATAAGCAATAAAAAAATCCAAAACCTACCTCGAGAAGACTGCAGGTCCACAGAAAATGGAACTGTACACAGGTTGATGGCCTTCCTTCCATTAGTCATACCATCCCAGTGCACGAGATGGAGAAATCCATCAGCAGTAGCAACAAGTAGATCCTCTAACATGGACTGCAAACTAACAAATGGATTTGTCATTCTCTAAAAAACTGCCTCTCAAATCAACATCACAGAAAAATCAATTAATGTAACAAACACGATATTACTGCCTCTTGTATCAACAACTATGTTGAGAAGTTAGGTCAAATAAATTACAAACTAAGTGCCTAAGTCCTCTAGACAGTAAAGGTACCAAGCTGGCAAAATGTGGTATATGTCCCTGGTTTTCTCCAGGAATAAGAGTTAATGAACAAGTCTGTATTGTTAGAGTAATTGTTTAACTGGTATGTGAACTGCTGAAGACCATTTTAATACTTTTGACTAAACATAAGACATTGCTGCCAACAATCAATTATTCATCTACCCCAGAAAATTACCAATATTGCCTAGGCTGTAACTAATCCACAACACTTTCTAAGCTGTGGTCTAAACTCATTGATGAAGCAGAAATTAGACTGCTCCTAAATCCTTCCCCCAACATCTCAAAAATTCTGAAAACTATTGTTAATCTATTTGCATGCAGATAACAACCTGCAGCCTCCCATGAAAGCTTTTTCCAGTATATACTGCATTTCTTCCAACATCCATTTTCTCCTATGGGACCTCTTCTCAAATTAAACTTTGTTTCTACCCCACCCCAATGCTATACAGTTTCACCAACTTTTCAAACACACTTATTTAGCATGTTCAAAGCTTACGTATAGGGCAGGCAATCACCACAAAAAAAGGAAGAGGTAAACAATAAGGTTTTCCAGGACAAATAGGGCCCCTCTGTGGGCAGCTGGAGAAATGCTGAAATGCTACATACAGTTTTGCTCTTATGTACCTATGTCTCCATGAAATCTCTAATCCATACTTCGAGCCCAAGGACAAACACATTTATAGTAACATAATGTAATACATGTGCTATATACTTCTATATGCCAAAAATATCAATATAGTCAAGCACAGAAAGAAAGAATTCTTAAACAGCAATTAACTTTTTCACCTCCTTAGACTTACCATTAGTAACTTACTATTAGTAAGTCTAAAAACTTACTAGAAGTTTTTTTTTCATCCAGTTTCCCCTTCAATTTTTAACAAGTAACCGCTATATGCAGAAAAATTCTTAAGACATGATTAGTCAGCATACCTTGTGATAGAGGCTTGCAAGTCCAGCACTTTCTTCATTTCTAGATTTAATGAAGGAGCACATTGTTCTTCCTTATAATGTGGGGTTCCCTTCAGATGTGGGCTTCCTCTAAAAGAAAAGAGAAACACTACAACTGAAACATGACATCCCTCAAGAGATCAGAGTTACTGACTTAAGATTCCTGTGGCTTTTTTCCCCCTCTATATATATACACCAGACACTCATGTGCAACCTGCCACAAGCAGCACTTAATATGTAAGATGTAATTTTAGTGCAAAAAGTTTAGTCTGTCATATCATGCTATATGCCTATAAAGAGTATGTAAGCAAAATAAGACAATGAACAGAGAACAAACATTACAATAGCTGTGTAGCCCACCTTTATAATCTTGAAATAAGTGATATACATTAATATAAATTGATTCAATAAAATGGTATTCAACTGTTTCCATTAATTGTGTTGAATTTTTAAGTATCTCCAATTCATTCTTTGCCAAGATGCATTACAGATATTATAGACTGTAAAATGTTCATGTTTCTTCACTTCCTTTTGCCAGATCAATGTTTATGCTATTAATTCAGTGTTCATAACACAACAGGTAGACATTTATTACAGTAATTCATAAGAATATGTCTCCCTATAGCAAATTAATAATAAACCTAAGACCTACTAAGAAAAGAGATGACTGAGCACTGATTCTCTTCCTTTAAACAGACCATTACACAGTATCAACTTCTAGATGTAGAAAGCTTCCAATTTTTATTTTCCTCATTTTAAATTTCACATTCCATTCTCCAATGAAATCCAGTTATTTTAAAACTCAATACAGCATCATTGAAGTATTCCTTATTTGTCTGGGTTATCAGATGTGCCATGTTTTATTAACTCTTTTTTTTTTTAAATGAAAACTGACCTACAATCATAAGTATTGTAGCATGTCATCCAGCTCATCCATGTCATGAGCATTATGCTAGTAAACAAAGCAAACTATGCGTGAAACAGGCATTGTAGACAAGTTAGTTTAGTATAACTTCATTAGTCAGAAACTAATAGGTATGTACAAAAATCTATGTAATCTTTACCTGGATTTTAACTGACAAAACACTTTTTTTATTTTGCACCGGGGTAACCCATGCAACTGCCTAAGACACGGCAGACACCAAAGCAGCCACAGTTTTAGATAAGTTCGACACCATAAGGAGACCTCAATCTCTTTCCTGCCTTGGTTATCTCAGTTGATATCAAGTGTCTTAATTCCATTACCATTTTATAGCAAACACAAAATTCATATCTGTCATCCTTTGACGGATATTACACCTTTTCTTATGCAGCAAGGACAAAGACATATGCTAGCTAAGGTAAGACCAAAGCAACCTTTGACATTCTGGAGTTAGCAGGCAGAATTAGTAACATATTTCCAGAAAAAAACCCATGAAGGTTTATAGCAAAAACTGAGAAATATCACTGTAAGGTTAGTTAATCTACCACCCACAGATGGCAACTTGTATAAACACTGAATTATTAAAATGTTTGTTTTGCATTTCAAAAGAAAATTTGTTAAAAAATACAGCCGTCTTGGGAAAGAATAGCACTTCATTTAAGCTAGGTATCATGGACTGACAGGAGGCCTGAAACTAAAAAAAAAAAGTGACTAGTTAATACTAGCATTGTGGGGTGCTTGTGGGGGTTTTTTAAACAGTAAATGAGACTGCATTTCTTGAAGTTCATGAAGCCAAATCCACCCGATTTGGCCCGGCATCTTTTAGAGTCAGGGATTTCACAGATAAAAATTCTATCATACAGGATTAATTCCTTAAAATCTCTATGTCACAATCTGAAATGCAGCATCCTGGGGGCTGGAGAAATACTTACAAAACCCCAGGTGTTTGGAGATATGCCTTTCAATGCATGTGGACACAGAGGTCCAGATAGTATACTCCTAAGCAAGATGAAACAATTCTGGGTTATCAAGAATCAGTGGTACAACTGACTTTTCTAAGCAAATGACTAAAATTGAGAGAAAAGGGTTGTGCAATGCATAAACGTTACTGTTATTTATGTATAACACACCATGTAACATGCCTGTGGTAACTGACTGAGGTACCTAACCACATCTAAACACAGTGTTTCTGCACAGCACAAAGGATAAAGCCAGATTGGGAACAACATGGTTTGAAAGACGTCTTTTGCTGGAAGATAATTTCAAGTCCCTGTGTGGGGAGGCTTCTTTTTCTTTAAGTACCTTTGATAAAAATAGTTTGCAAGAATATTTGAATATTTTCCGTTTCATGAGCTAGTTTCAGCAAGTTTGTTACCATCTGCAGAGTATATCTTTTTCCATTGAGGCACCATCATCATGACTGAAACTCCAAAATGTCAGTATTTTAATTCAATGCCTGTGATTACATCAAATTCATCTATTCAAAAAGAAACCCTTACTATGGGTACAAAGGGGGCACAATCAAAAGTACAGTGTGTTCATATAATTCACATCTGCATGAGTCAGCCTTACTAGTTAAGTTACTTTGACCTTTAAATGAAGAATGTGTGCTGCTGACAGAAGCAGGAAAGAATGTTTGGTCTGGGTTGCCACATCAGCATCTGCTACATTGTAGCCAAACTTTTAAGTAACTCACTTTTGCACAAGAATTGAGAGGAATGAACACATTCCAGTGACCAACCAGCTGCATGTTGAAACAAATATAATTACTTCTCTTCTATTCACACAGCATCTGTTAAGGTAACTAAACCTGTGAATAGAACCTCTTAACACTCAGAATTGAGAAAAATCTCCCACTACATCTGCAATCCAAGAAAACCCCAAACATGGAAAGATTAGGAATGCCACGCTGGATTTTTAAAGCTAGAATAGGAGGTTTATGGGGAAGTTTCAGATCTTGAAGATCAAGGTGTATTTTTTAAATCAACAGGTTCATTCTCTGTTCCCTAATTACCATGTCATTAGTGATATGCTTGTTTGCAGGGAACAGAGCACTATACAAAATGTCTTTCAGATGTTGAAAGCCTATGTAACTGTATCTCATGAATCACCTTTTAAATAAGGATAAAGAGGAATGGTAAATATAAGTCTACCTTAAGGGCTTGCCCTGTTTCCCCAAATTCTCTCAGCTTTCCCCATATTAACCCTCTCCAGCTGTTCAGTTCTAACCTGATTTCTGCAAAATGAAAGGAGAGCCTATAAATAAGTTAATTGCTAAAATTCTTAGCATGAAGCCATAATTTTTTGTACTCATTTGATCTTCTTACAGGGGAAGAACTGGCTCTGGAAGTAACACTTTGATTCTGTTAGGAGAAAAAAAAATATAAACTCAAACTATGACGCAAGATGCAAAAATGAGAAAATGGAGAGGTGTATTTAAACCCCCACCCCCCAAAAAAACCCCAAACCCAACAAATGTTAAGCATCCTAAATTCAAGAAACAGGCAGCACCATGCAGAAGCATAGTCACCTAGCCTCCCCTGAATTGGGAGGAAGAATTTCCTTGGAGTTTGTTATCTGGGGTGGGGGGAGGTTCAGGGAGGAAACAAGACACCAGCCAGCTAATTTTTCTAGCAGCACAGTACTGCACTTATGTCCTCCACCACACACACAGCAGTTAAGTGATGTAAGCATGATCCACAGACAACGCTCACTCAGAAATACCATTACCAGACTTAGTCGCTGCTAACAGAAGCAACTAAGAAATACTTAGGAAGGTAATTATAGCAGAATCTGAAAGGATGTACTTAAGCACTTCTTTATCATTTGTAATTAAGGTATATAACACATCATCTTTTTTAGTCTGTTCTAAGTATTTCAAAATAATGTTCAATTTTTCAATATAAAGTTCATGGTTTTCTGCTTATTACTGGAGAATTCTATTCCAGAGGAAGAAATAGCATTACATTTGAGTTTCCACCTTATTATCTGGAATAACCATAGTTATATAGGTAGCTGTTATGGCTGGATAATAGTTCAGAAAAGTTCAGAGATGCTCTCACAGTCAACAAATACTATGCTTCCCCAAAAAATTAATGTGGCTAATGGCAGGTATTGCATTAATTAAACAAACAAACAAACAACAAACAAGTTAGTAGCATCCATTCCCACTAGTCAAATCGCAGCTGCTTGGGAAGTAATGGAGACATTTTATAATAGTAAAGATTCCAGACTTGTTCACCAGTAAATATCTTTAGAAGAAATAATGGATACAAATGAGGCACAATGTTTTTACACTCCTCTGGGGCTATGATATTCTTAATTGTTGCTGCTAAAATGGTTTCTTCGGTAGTACTTCTTGGAATTAAAAACAAAAAATAAAAAATAAAAAAAACCCCAGCACCTTGATGTTTCAACTATTAAGAGCATTATACATGTGAGAAAAACAGGGCAAACAGCATTTCTAAATGAATTTACACCACCAAGAATTCTGAGTTGCTCTCCTTGAAGACACAAGCAAAAAACTGACAACAGCTGTTATTGTTGCATTAGCACAATTGCACAACGTTTATTAACTGTTTTAAAATGGTTCACATGAAGAATTCAGTTAGTGAATTGTCTGTACAGCTAGGGACTTAATTTTTTTTATACTTGATTAAAAGACCCTGCATCATCATCTCTAAACGTGTGATTCTTCACTAACAATTCACTGCCCACCATGCTTTTTAGGAAGGGTTCTTAAACAAGTTACATTATGAACTTTGATTTCCATGTGACTAGCGTCTCCTCAGCCCTGAACCTGCACCTCTCCACCATATGCTGCAGGCAGCCACCAGCTGAAGATGAAGTATGTCTGGCTCAATCCAGAGCTATACACACAACAGACTGGCAAGAACTGGACAAACAAAAATTTAGAGTCTATAGAAACAACTATAAAGAATGAATAAGGGTTTAGAAAAGTAATTCTTAGTGTACTAAGTGCCTTTTCTACCCATTGAGTAATAACAGGTTTCTGTGGTTTGACAATAGAAATAACTAGCTACCATATTAATCAACTATTCACATAAAAAAGCTAAATGGTTTACCAAATTATTATTCCAGTTGCAAAGATTTCTTGATGACATTTTAAGCCTCCTGAACCACATCAAGGGCTAGCAAGTGCCATAAT